CAGACAGCGTCCAGTTCACCAGATGGCCGCCCTGTGGGGGCTGGAGCCGGAGCAAGGGCAGGGCTGAGGTGGGAGCAATGTCCACCCCAAACCCAGCCCAGGGGCAGAGGGTGAAAGTGCAAATGGCGGGGGTCAGGCGCTGGGGGACGGATGCAGTGGGGGGGGGGTCGGCGGGGTTAGCAGCCTGCCCCTCGCAGTGCCCTCCCGGGGCCCCTGCCCCCACCGTGACCCCAGAGCTCGGGATGGGCTCTGGGAGGGGGAACCTCGGGTGAGGGTCTCCAGGGAGGCGGGATCGCGGGGGAAGGGCCGCAGGTCCCTGCTCAGAAGGCAAATCTTGCCGGAGAAAGACAAATATCACATGATCTCACTTATCTGTGGAATATAATGAACAAAAAAACCTGATGAACAAAATAGACCCAGAGACACAGAAGTAGGGTTCAGACTGAGAGACCTCAGAAGAAGGTTGGGGGGGGCAGAGATAAACCACAAAACTTATATGCATAACAGACAGCAAAGCTGGGGGCGGGTGGGGATGGGGAGGGGGGTGTCAATAGGGGGCAAAGGAGAAACATCTGTAACAAAAATAAACTAGTAAAAATAGTTTTTAAAACAAGAAGGCAAATCTGGTCCTCACCATGTCCCCAAGTAGCAGGCGCCCAAGGGCCAGCCCCCAGGCCGGGCAAAGGGTCAGCCTGGCAGGTCCCAGCTTTGCAGGAGGGAGGGAGTCCCTGCAGGTTCCGAGGAAGCGCCCGCCCGCCCCCCAGCGGCCCCCCGCCCATCATCACAGCTCTGGTCTGCAGCCCCCCCCACGCCCTCCGGCCCATCATCACAGCTCTGGTCTGCAGCCCCCCCACGCCCCCTGGCCCATCATCACAGCTCTGGTCTGCAGCCCCCCCCCACGCCCCCCGGCCCATCATCACAGCTCTGGTCTGCAGCCCACCCCACGCCCCCCCAGCCCATCATCACAGCTCTGGTCTGCAGCCCGGCCCACGTCCCCCCGGCCCATCATCACAGCTCTGGTCTGCAGCCCGCCCCCCCCCCGCCCCCCCGGCCCATCATCACAGCTCTGGTCTGCAGCCTGGCCCCACGACCCTCCCCCCCCTGCCCCACCGGCGGCGACGGCAGGAAGCCAGGGTACAGCTGCACAGAGACCGATTCCGCGCCTGTGTGGAGCTCTTAACACAACTCAGCTGAAAGCCATGGCTTCCAGCCCTCTGATGGGACCAGTGTGGCCCCGACCAGTGGTCAGTGTGGCCACAGCCGGAGCCGTGAAGCCCACCTGCCCTCCCTCCCCCTGGGAGCGTCACCCTGACAGGGGGTCCAGGGGTGGGCACCGCGTAAGCCAGTGCGGCAAGCCCAGGTCTGAGGCGCCCAGCCTGCTCCGTGGCCTCCGAAACACCTGCTGGCCGATTCCGCAGCTTCATGGGGCCCTAAGTGCCCGTGAAGGTCAGGGGACAGTGCCCATCCTCCCCATTCAGCCAGAAAGTAGGAAGTAAGGTGGGGGCCCTCCCCTGGACACAGCTCTGAGGATGGGGCCACTCCAGGCAGGCCAGGCCTCGGGGCCCGCGGGGCTCCTGGCCCCGGGGTGACCGGTGCTGCTCAGGGCCGGCCACGCGAGGGAGGGTAGGGCAGGGTCTGCGCCAGGCCTGCGGGCACACAATTGCCCCTTGTCCGCAGCGGGCGCTGCTTCCTCGGGCCAGCCAACGGGATTCGCTCTTATCGCTGAGAACAATGGCCACACAACTCTTATCACCCCACTGTTTGCTCAGCGCCTTGGAGCACCCCTGGGTCAGCCACAAACACGCCATTTTCCATAACTTCCCAAGATGCCTCTCCCCTGCCCCCTGCAGCCCGGAGCCCCCACCCCGCCAAGCCGTCTACCACCTGCAGCCCAGGAGGCCCAGCAGCCCTGGTTACGAATCCTGGAACACACAGCTCAGTTTTTCCAGGAAACTCAAATCCCATCTCAATGCACACAGATGTGCACATGCATGCACACACGTACACACATGCACACAGCACACACACCAGCACACAGCACACACACCAGCACACACACAGCACACACACAGCACACACACATGCACACAGCACACACACACACCAGCACACAGCACACACACACACGCACACTAGCACACCAGCACACACACACCAGCACACCAGCACACACACCAGCACACACACAGCACACACACAGCACACACACATGCACACAGCACACACACACACCAGCACACACACAACACCAGCGCACACACAGCACACCAGCACACACAGCACACACATACACACCAGTACACACGCACGAGCACACAGCACACAGAGAACACATACACACACATGCACGCACACAGCACACACACACGAGCACACAGCACACACAGAACACATGCACACACATGCACACACAGCACACACACACGAGCACACAGAACACATACACACACAGCACGAGCACACGGCACACACACACGAGCACACAGCACACACAGAACACATACACACACATGCACGCACACAGCACACACACACGAGCACACAGAACACATACACACACGAGCACACAGCACACATGCTTGAGCTTTTCAGTCCAGCTGATATCCAAACCCCACCAAGGTCACACTTGTGTCCCTCAGGCTGCTGGGGTGACACTGAGAGCCCAAAACAGGGACCCCTGCCTGCCACAAGCCCCTGCCCCCACCCCAGGCCTTGCAGGTCAGTGACCCAGGAGTGTCCCTTAACCACAGCTCACTCCCTCCAGCTCCGTCCTTCGTCCGTCCCCTGCTGCGCCCTCCAGGTGCCAGGACGCGGGAGGACAGGCAGACAGACCCCATGGGGTGAAGCACTGCTGGGGCCCACGGCCACGACGTGAGTGCTGAGTAGAGAAGGGACGAGGGCCGTCAGCCGGGAGGGAGGAGCCGAGGAACACCGGGGGCGTGGGGGCCCCCGAGGGCAGCCGTGCCGGGGCCCTGCGGTTGGGCGCCTGCTGGGCGAGCCTGTGGGTGGGCTGCAGGTCCCGGGAAGCTACTGGGGGCCCTGGGCTCAGTTCCACTGCCAGCCCCTCAGGGCACCCAGCGGACAGCCTCACCCTCCGCCTCGGTTGGCACCCAGCCCGGCAGCTTTGTGTGGAGGGAGGTCACCCCGGAGGGCCCTCAGCGCACAGGCCCAGCACCTGAGAGATTTCCTGCAGCTTCCGTCCTGGGACCTGACATGTCCCCCCACAGCCCCACGTCTGGGCGCCCTCACCCTCTGCACCCAAACCAAACGGAGGCCTGAGAGACAGCCCACCCGTGTCCCTGTGGGACCCCAGTTGGAGCCTGTGGGGACCTGGAACTGTGCGAGCTCTCCTAGGGAGACAGAGGCCCCAGGGGGCCCCTCGGCGAAGCCTGGACAGATGGTGAGAGGGACCCCAGGCCAGAGCCCCTCTGGGCACCGCCCCTCGCTGCAGTGAACCGAGGAGGGACCCCGGGACCTGGACCTAGTCCTGTGACTGCTCTGACCTCTCAGCTGCTGGATGGGGTGCACTCTGGGCCCACGCATTCTGGGGCCCCTTGAGCTGAAGGCGAAAGGGCCAGGACAGCATCCAGGGACCAATGGCCTCGGCTAGCAGCTCGCTGAGGGCGGGCTCTGCTGGAGCAACTGTGAAACTCGAGTTGAGTTCAGGGAAACGGCAACCTCTGCCCTGCGGAGCTGGGCCTCCAGGTGGGAGCGGCGGCCACAGCCAGGCCGCGGGGCCCAGTGTCTGGAACCCAGGACCCTGCCCCGCGTGGGGCTGGCCGGCGGCCTAGACCTGGGTCCTCAGTGGAAGGAGCTAGGACCCCTGCACCCCATGTCTCCGTGGGGCCAGAACCCCTTGAGGAAGAGGGAGCCTCCTGAGCCAGGCCCCGAGTTCCAACAGGGTCCCACTCGGGCCACGGCTGTCCTGGAGAGCGTGACCCACCCTGCCCCCTGCTGCAAGAGGGACCAGAGTATCCAGTGCCCTGACCCTCACCCTGACCCCACGTGATCCTGGGGTGTCCTGCCCATGGACAAGGGCCCACTGGCCCCGCCACCCTGCTGCCTGGGGTACTGCCCCCAGGAGCCACGCCATGCTCCCCGGGGGCTGTGACCTACGGCTGGTACAACCCCCAGAGACACCCCCAGATGGGCAGCCCCTGAGGCCACCTGCCTCTGCTCCTGTCTGAGTCGAACCGCTCGGAGCTGTGCGGGGCCAGAAAATGTAATGGGGGGCTCCTGTGGTACAGCATGACCTGAAGTCTGAGGAGGCAGGCCGAGAAGGGGTCCCCAGGAACAGCCCTGCACCCCAGCATGTGGTGTCGGCCTCGAAAGCTCCTCAGGTCTCCGAGCAGTTGTCCTGTCTGACCTCAGGCTGGCCGCCCGGCCGTGTGGCCTCGACCTAGGACCCCAGCTCAGCACTGACTTCACCTCTGCAGAGGTCGTTCCACTGGGTGGTCTTTCTTCCTAGGGTGGGGGTGGGGCCCAGATGCTGGTGTGTTTGGGGGTCCTGGGGTCCGAGTGTGAGTGGAACTCACCCCAGGAACTGTGCTCGCACTCGGGCTCCCTGCAGGGGCGGAGAGGTGCCCGGAACCCCCTACACCCTACACCAGGCCCCACTTGGCTCCCAGGCTGTGGCGGACGTCACTGTTGACCCCCGGAACTGGCCCCCGGAACCATCCCCAGGACGGCCGCAATCTCAGCCCGGAGCAAACAGGGAAGCCTGCCAGCCTGCGGGGAGCGGGCGATAACCGGCCGCGGCCCGAGCGGGAACCTTTCCCCGTCCACGTCCTGATAAACCAGCGCCTGAGATCCTGTTTGGCCACCGCTGCGCCCGGCCGGCCGGCAGGGGCGATTACAGGGCCGGAGCGTGGGGTGCGGCGGGCGCGGCCCCTATATAAGGCGCCCGAGGCCGGCTCCTCGCTGGCACAGGTGCAGCCGGTCTACCTGGTGTGCAGCCGCGGGAGGGCCGGGTCCTGCAGGGACCTCTCTTCCCACTCACCATGCTGGGGCCTCAGCTGCTGCTGCTCCTGGCCTGCGGGGGAGCCCTGCTCAGCGCTGGTGAGTGGGGGCCTGCAGGCCCGCGAGCGACCGATGCCCTCAGAGCCCCTGGAAGTCTCCTGGCCTCTCACCTCTCCGACTTGGCTGGAGGCGGACTGGTCACGAGCACATGATGCCCACGACGGGAAGCCCCTCCTGCACTGGCCAAGACCCGGGTCACCCCAGCCAGTGAGGGTTGGGGTGCAGGGGTCGAGTGCCGGGGATGACTGACAGGCCCAGGCAGGCGGGCTCCCCAGGGGAAGGCGGTGCCCTCCCCAAGAGCCGGGGCGTCAGAGCCTGTGCTGGGCACGCAGTGCTGGGGCTCAGCCCTAAGCCAGGCGCCCCCTCTCCCACTGGGCAGGGGTCCTGAGAGGTGGCCAGGGGGCCCCAGGTACGGCTACAGTGATGTAGGGCCTTGTGGGCCTTGGGGCCAGAGAACCCAGGTGGAGGCCCCCTCCATGCCTCCTGGCTGTGAGCGGTGACCCCTCCTTGGGCTCTGAGCCCTGGTTTCCCCATCTGTAAAAGTGGGGGCAACATCTCCCCCGCATGTGGCTGCCACCAGCCCACCCAGCCTCACCCATCAGCCCTTGGGGCAGGGGTTCTCTTCCCCCTCCTACCATCCCCACAGCCTCCTGGGGAGCCAGGGAGCGGGCCCAGGGCAGGCAGCGGCTGCAGACACCCGCCCAGTGGGTCTCCCCTGGGCCCGCCCCGCCCCGCCCCTCCCCAAAGCCCCTCCCCAGCCCTGCAGGCACCGCCTTTCCCACCAAGGCAGCTCTGAGCACTCAGGACCCCAGCCCCGCTGAGGCCAACCCCCCCCCGCCCCTCCCTGGCCCTAGGGGCCCCCAGATCTAGGCCCACAAACTGGGGGAGGATGCCCTGGAGCCAGCGGGGTGAGGTGTGGGCCTGGGAGTCTGGCCAGGGCTGCAGCTCTGGGGGGCGAGGGGCCCAGGTTGCGTGTGCAGCAGAGGGTTGGGGAGGGGTCTGTCTGAACCTCAGTAAAAGCTCTCTGGGTGCCTCTGTGTCCCCCTGGGAGGAAGAGAGACAGGCCCTGCCCCTCCTGGGCCCGAGGCATGAGGTCTGACGGGGGTCTCGGGGGTCTGAGGTTGTGGGGCCGGGAAGGAGGCGCCCGCCCGCCAGGGCTGAGCCAGAACAGGCGGGGGCAGCAGGGCTGCGGAGCGTGGAGGACAGTGAGTGCCCGGTGGCTGGCGACCAGCCCGCCTGCGGCTCGGCGGGTCCCAGCCAGGGGTCAGTGCCAGCTCTGACCTGCTAGAAAGCACAGCCTGCCTCCTGAGCATCTTCAAAGGAGCCCCCACTGCCCAGGGGGCGGGGGTCACTGACAAGGCAGAGCCGGAGGCCTCTGGCTGGGGTGGGGACCCAGCAGAGTGCGGACAGGAGACCCGACAGGCTCCGTGGGCTGGCACCAGGTGGCCGGGAGCTGGGGAGCGAACCTCCGGGCAGTCACGAGCAGAGCAGCAGCTCAGCCTCAGCAACATGAGGAGGCAGGAGGAGGACCACACCCAGTGTCTTCCTCCCATCGGGAAGGTGGATCACTCGGCCTGTGTGCCCACCCCAGCTGGGTACCCCGGCTGCAGGGCAGGACCCTGCTGACAGGGACCCGCATCGTGACGGGGGAGCAGGCAGGAACTGCCGGGAGCTGCCCCCGGGGTGAACAGGGCAGGAACCAAGGAGAATCGAGGCCCCAGGAGGGCCTGGAGAGGGGAGCAGGGGCCAGCAGCACTCGGATCTCGGATCTCGGATCTCAGCCGGGCCCACAGGAGCGGCAGGAAGGACCTCCGAGGGGGGCAGGGGCATGGGGGCCACAGGGAGGAGGGGAGAGTGGGGCCACAGGCGAGGCCCCCTCCAGCTTCCTGCCCCTGCCGTCCCTGTGACCCACGTACCTGGGCGGTCACCACAGTCCCAGGACTGTCGGGGGGGGGCAGGAACTCAGGCACTTTTAGGGCCCTGAGGGAGAATCCCACAGTGGGATCTCAGCTTCGGGCAGGCTCCCTGAGCATCTGCAGACCCCAGAGGGAGACCAGCTGGGCCGAGTGGGAACACAGGGTGCAGCCAGAGAGAGGGGTCCCACACCACAGAGCCCCCGGCCCTTAGCCCCCCCCCCAGCTCCCCCAAGGAGGTCCACGCAGGAGCCCAGCACCCTGCTGCCCGGCACGGGAGCTGCCCAGAGCCCTGTGGACTGACAGCCCGCTCACCCACGGCTGCTCGTCCTGCACGCGGGCTCTGTTGACCGCGGACCCTGGTGCATCCAGGCCTGGGCAAGGGGCAGCCTGGCAGGCAGAGGTCACCAGAGGGGGCTGGTGTCCAGTGTCGGGGACCCGCGTGCCCTGAGGCCTGGTCCTCGGCCACACAAATTCCCCTTGGAACCTCCCCAGCACAACCTGGGCAGCTCACAGTCTGTGTGTGTGTACACGCATGTGTGCGTGCGTGCGTGTGTGCACATGTATGTGTGTGCTGTGTGCACGCATGTATGCATGTATGTGTGCATGCACACGTGCACACAAGCGGGGGGTGCCTCCCCTTCCTCGGGGCTCTCAGGAGCAGGGACCTCGTCCCCACTGTCTCCTGCACCAGCGGGCGACCGGCCCACAGCAGATGCAGAACCAGTGACTGAAGACTGAAGGGACAAAAGGGGGTGTGAACGGGAAGAACGTGGAGGCCTGAAGGGCACCCCGGGCTGGGCTCAGGCTGGTGCCAGCGCTGTGCTCCCGCCCCGCCCTGGGCCCCGCACAGCTGAGCTCTGAGCACCCCGGAGCAGGCTGTGGTCCCAGCACTGACAGGGGCTCTGTCCTCACAGGTCTCAATGACACCTCCTTTGCCCGCCCAGGCCCCCAGAGGCTGAAGGACTCCCCACAGACAGGTGAGGGCCATGGCCCTGCCCGGGGTGGCCGTGGTCTGGGCTTTCCACAGGAGCGTCCTCAGGAGCCTCCGCCAGCTGCTGCGGGGGTGGGGTGGGGGTCCTGCGGGGCGGGGTCTGAGCTACACTTCCTGTCCTACAGCCCCAGGGCTGCTGACACACAGACCCCCACCCAGGAGGGCCTGGAGCTTGGGGGGCTGTGAACTCCGGCCCCGTGGGGCCCAGCTTGCGGGGCCAGGCTGCCCCATTCCGCCGTCTCCCTCCACAGCTCTGGGCAGGGGCTGGTGCTCCACATGGGGGGCCGGCCACTTCTCCACCTTCGACGGCCACACATACGACTTTGAGGGGACCTGCAACTATGTCTTTGCGGCCATCTGTAAGGACACGTCCTCGCCCGTCTTCAGCGTCCAGCTACGGCGCGAGCCCGACGGCAACATCACCCGGGTCATCGTGGAGCTGGGGGCCTCCGTGGTCACTGCGCACCAGGGGGTCATCTCCATCAAAGACGTGGGGTAGGCGGCGTGGCCGGGGGTCGGGGACCCAGGGAGTGGCCAGGGGGCCGAGGGGCGGCCGCTGACCGTGCTCCCCACAGAGTCGTCAGCCTGCCCTACACCAGCCACGGGCTGCAGATCACCCCCTTCGGCCAGAGTGTGCAGCTGGTGGCCAAGCAGCTGGAGCTGGAGCTGGTGGTCGTGTGGGGCCCAGGTGCCCACCTCATGGTGAGGACACCGGGGGAGCTGCCCCGAGGTGGGGGTCCCAACCGGCCCTCCAGCTCTTTCAACTGGGCACTGACTCTGGCTGGAGCTCGGATGGGTCTGGGCCACTTGAGAAAGAGGAACTGGGGAGGGGGAGGGCACCTGGGCTCCTGGAGCAGGCGGGAGGGGCCTCTGCCTCTGGGCGGGGTCCTGGGACCAGAGCCCCGCCCCTGCCCCTCCCCCTCCATGGCACTGACACCCCCCACAGGTCCTGGTGGAGGACAGGCACATGGGAAGGATGTGCGGGCTCTGCGGGAACTTCGACGGCAAGAGGAACAATGAGTTCCTGAGCGAGGATGGTAAGTGGGGGCAGGCTCGGCCCCCCTTCTGCGGCCAGTGACCCCTTCCCCGTGCTGACCCTGCCCTGCACCCCCAGGCACGCTCCTGGAGCCCCACAAGTACGCTGCCCTCCAGAAGCTGGACGACCCCAACGAGATCTGCACCCACGAGGCCATCCCCAGCCCCCCGGTCCTGAAGGCGGAGCATGTACGTGAGGGGGGCCTCTAGCCAGGGTGGGGCGGGCCACGGCCTTCTGAGTGGAAGCACCGCAAGGGCCGAGGCCTTTGCCCGTGACCCAGCGGCCTCTGCCCAGGCCCAGATCTGCACCCAGCTGCTGGCCCTGGTGGCCCCCCAGTGCCGCGTGCCCACGGAGCCGTTCCTATGGAGCTGCCAGGCCGACCTGGCCGCGTGCGCCCAGCCCGGCCAGCGGAGCTGCGCCTGCGCCACGCTGTCCGAGTACTCGCGCTACTGCAGCCTCAGCGGCCAGCCAGTCCGCCGCTGGCGGGGCCCCAGCCTCTGCCGTGAGTGCACACACAGCCCCATTACCACCTCCTGCGTGGCACTGAGGGAGACCCCGGGAGGGCTCGGGCGGGAGGGACCCTGGGTGCCCGGCCCGCTCACCGGGAGCTCGTGTCCCTGCAGCCCTGGGCCAGTGCCCGGCCAACCAGGTGTACCAGGAGTGTGGTGAGGCCTGCGTCAAGACCTGCTCCCACCCACAGCACAGCTGCGCCCAGTTTTGCACCTTTGGCTGCTTCTGCCCTGAAGGTAAGGCACCGTCCCCCGGGGACCCCTCCAGAGAAGCCCCCCACCCAGCACACTGCCCTGCCTGGCATATTGGACAGAACCGACCTGCCGCCCCCAAAGTGTGCTCACGGCCGCGTGTGCAAATCCTTGGGACAGTGAGGTGGAGTCCATGGGGGTCCGAGGGGCCGAGCCCACCAGAGACAGGGCTGCCACTCAGCAGGGGCAGGCCTGGGCCTGGGCACGCTGGCCAGAGGGCAGTGCGGACAGGGCTGGAGGTGGGGGTCGCGGAGGAGCCAGGGAGGTGTGGAGGGGACAGAGACCTCCGGGGACAGGAGGGAAGGGCGGCCCAGAGGGGCAGGAAGGGGTTCCCTCCGCACAGCCCCAGGAAGCCCGTTCCTGCAGGTATGGTTCTTGACGACACTTCCAGAAACCTCACCTGCGTGCCCGTGGACCAGTGTCCCTGCAAGATCGGGGGCGTGACCTACGCCCCCGGGGAGGTCACTGCAGACGCCTGCCGCACCTGGTGAGTGCAGGGCAGCCTGGGAGGGCACCGGACTGGAGGGGCTGTGGGGGTCATGGGGTCAAGGGGGCAGAGGGCAGCCTCAGCCCGGGAGACAGCCGGCTCTGCTGGCCCAGAACATCCCAGGGAGCCACCTGGCCCGGCAGCACCGCCGACCACTCGGGGTCGCCCTCCCCACCCACAGCCAGTGCTCCATGGGGCGCTGGCAATGCCAGGAGCGGCCCTGCCCCCAGCCCTGCGCCCTGGAAGGCGGCTCCTTTGTGACCACGTTCGACGCCAGACATTATCGCTTCCACGGCACATGCACCTACATCCTGCTGCAGGTGGGCAGGGACCGCCCGGGGAGCACCAGCGGGGTCGCCACTGCGTGGGGGACCACAAGGGGTCCCACCAGGAGGGGTCAACACACGCCCCGGCTCTCTGCTTACTGCCCTCCCCACAGAGCCCTCAGCTCCCTGACGGGGGCTCCCTCATGGCCACATACGACAAGTCTGGGTACTCACACTCGGAGACCTCCCTGGTGGCGCTCACCTACATGTCCAGCCAGGTAAGGCTGCCGCCTGCAGCCGCTGCACCCGCTGCTCCCCGCCTGGCCCCCAGAGGGAGCGCCTCCCCACACCCCTGGCCTGCAGTGACTCAGCCCACTCTTCCTCCAGGACAAAATCGTGATTTCCCAGGACGAGGTCATCACCAACCACGGAGACATCAAGTGGCTGCCATACAAGACCGGTGTGTCCGCGCCCCCACCCGGGCGCCCAGTGGGCCGGGTCCCAGAGCGGGCCACCCACTGAGCACTGTCCCTGCAGGCAACATCACGGTCTTCAGGCAGACGTCCACCCACCTGCAGATGGCCACCACCTTCGGGCTGGAGGTCCTGATCCAGCTGCAGCCCGTGTTCCAGGCCTACATCACGATGGGGCCCCAGTTCCGAGGCCAGACCAGAGGTGAGTCCCTCCCCCACCTGCCCAGGGTCCGCCCGGCTGCCACGTCCCCACCTGGCTTGACCTCACGGGAAGCAGAGGGACCCAGCAGAGCCCCACACGGACCCAGCAGGTCCAGCGCCCGCTTCCCCAGGCCAGTGGCCCCAGCGACCGGCCCTCCCAGGGGTGCAGCCAGGGATGGCCTCTTGCCCAGGGCACAGTTGGGGGATGCAGGGCGGGGCAGGGATGCGGGGCAGCCCCCCTCACGGCCCGGCCGGCTCAGGGCTCTGCGGCAACTTCAACGGGGACACGACAGACGACTTCACGACCAGCATGGGCATCGCCGAGGGCACTGCCTCCCTCTTTGTGGACTCCTGGCGGGCAGGGAACTGCCCGGCCGCCCTGGAGCGGGAGACTGACCCCTGCTCCATGAGCCAGCTCAACAGTGAGTGCCCAGCCCCGGGAGGGGGCGGGGGGAGGCCCACGCCGGGCCTGCGGGCGACCACGGCCTGTCCCCACAGAGCTGTGCGCGGAGACCCACTGCTCGGTGCTGGTGAACCAGGGCACGGTGTTCGAGAAGTGTCACACCCTGGTGAACCCCAAGCCCTTCTACAAGGTGGGTGGAGCCCGCAGGGGCCAGAGGGCTGCGGGAGGGGCGGCGGGAGGGGCGCGGGAGGGTGGGCGCCAACACCCGGTCTGCCTGCAGAGGTGCGTGTACCAGGCCTGCAACTACGAGGAGACCTTCCCGCACATCTGTGCCGCCCTGGGGGCCTACGCCTACGCCTGTGCCTCCAGGGGCCTCCTGCTCCGGGGCTGGAGAAGCAGCGTTGACAACTGCAGTGCGTGCAAACTGGGCACGGCGGGGACAGCGGGCCGCCGGGACCTCGGGGAGGGTGGGGTCATGGGGGGGTCCAGGGCCTGACGCCCAGGTCCCCGCAGCCATCCCCTGTGCGGGCAACCAGACGTTCAGCTACGACAGCCGGGCCTGTGGCCGCACATGCCTCTCACTGTCCGACCGTGCCGCCGAGTGCCGCCCTGGTGCCATCCCCACGGAAGGCTGCAACTGCCCCGAGGGCACCTACCTGAACCACAGGATGGAGTGTGTGCATAAGGCCCAGTGCCCCTGCCTCCTGGACAGCCACAAGCTCATCCTGGCCGGCCAGTCCGCCGTGGTCAACGGCGCCCTCTGGTGAGTGGGGTTCTGGGTAGACGGCCCTGCCCCCGCAGCCCGGGGCCAGGGCCGCCCACTCACACGGCCTCTCTTGCAGCTACTGCAGGAACGGGCGGCTGAGCTGCCCTGACCAGCCGCAGATGCTCCTGGGTACGTAGCGCAGCGGAGGCAGACGCCCTGGACTGCGAGGCGCCCTGGCCCCGCGGACCTGCCTCACCCAGCCCTCTCCCCTGCAGCGTCCTGCGTGGCCCCCAAGACATTCCAGTCCTGCAGCCAGTCCTCTGGGAACAAGTTCGGGGCGGCCTGTGCCCCCACGTGCCAGATGCTGGCCACCGGCACCCCCTGCGTAAGGCTGGGGCGAGCAAGGGACAGGGTGCTTCCCAGGGGGTCGTCCCCCAGGGTGACCTGTGCTGGACATTCCGGCCACAGACGCCCACAGCCTCTCTGGGCCTCAAAGGATGTCTAGAATCGCGAGGAAGGAGACGTCGAGCTCTGTCCCCCCACATTGTCCTCCCATAAGAAGCATGGCCAGTGGGGCTGGGAGGCTGGGCAGCTAGCTGTGGGGTTCCCTGAGGGCTGTGGGCTGGGGCCCCCCAACTTAGGGAGGGGGAGGAGGGGTACAACAGCCCAGCGGGGAGGCTCAGAGGTGGGAATCTGCCCTCAGAGAAGGCCCAGAGCGGGCCGACTGCAGTCAGGGTCTTAGAAGGAACCATCACTGGCTGCACCCCCGGGGCGTCTGGCCCCCCTCCCTGCAGGTGCCCACCAAGTGCGAGCCCGGCTGCGTCTGTGCCGAGGGGCTCTACGAGAACGCCAGTGGGCAGTGCGTGCCCCCCGAGGAGTGCCCGTGCGAGTTTGGGGGGGCCTCCTACCCCCAGGGCGCCAAGCTGCACACCAGCTGTAAGAGCTGGTACGTCAGCCCCACCCGGGGCACTCGGGGCCAGGGCTGTCCTCGGGGCCTCCGGCGGGCAGGGTCGGCGTCCCGCGGGGGTGTGTGCAGCTGGTCCCTCAGAGCCCCAGAGCTCCCTGCTCCTCCCCCAGCACCTGCTCGAGGGGGAAGTGGTTGTGCCGCCAGAGCGCCCACTGCGCGTCCACCTGCACGCTCTACGGGGAGGGCCACGTGGTCACCTTCGACGGGCAGCGCTTCGTGTTTGAGGGCAACTGCGAATATATCCTGGCCACGGTGAGGGGGGGCCAGGGAGGCCCAGGGGGCGGGGCCACGGGGAGGTCCTGGGGGACGAAGGGGGCTCCTGGCGAGCTCCTCCTCAGCACCCCCTCCCCACAGGACGGCTGTGGCACCACCTCCCAGCCCACCTTCAAGATCCTGACGGAGAACGTTGTGTGTGGAAAATCAGGCGTGACCTGCTCCCGGGCCGTCAGGCTCTCCCTGGGGGTGAGCGGCTGCCTGGGGGTCCCCACATCCTGGCCTCTCTGTGCCCGGGGAGGTGGACAGCCACGGGGTGGGGGGGGGCTCTTCTCCCAGAAGCCTGACCTGGCCCTCGGACAGTGTCCGCGATGCTCTGGACCCTCCCGCCAATGGCTCTAGAGCAGGGCCAGGGCCAGGTGGACACGGACAGCACGGTTCGAGGCCCACACAGTTACCAACGTAAACTCAGCCCGCTGGGCTCGGTCAGGCCCACTGGCGAGGTTGTGCCGAGCGCGGGCACTGATTCTGCGGCCTTGTGTGCCCCGCGCCGGAGGGCAGGCCCCCGCCCAGAGTGGCCCACAGTGTCCTTAGCGGAGGTCCTGCTTCGGGGAGCCCGGGCGGGAGGCAGGCACCCGGTGACGCCCGGCCCCACAGGGCCTGTCCATCGTGCTGGCGGACAGGAACTACACGGTCAGCGGGGCAGACCCCCGCGTGCACTTCCGGGTCAAGGCGGGCTCCCTGAACCTGATGCTGGACATCACCATCGGCAGCAGCTACAACCTGACCCTCATCTGGAACAAGCACATGACCGTCTCCATCACGATCTGGCGCGCCTCGCAGGTACCGCGCGCCCGCCTGGCCTGCGGTGGGGCAGCGCCCGCCCGCCCGCCCGCCTGACACCTGCCCCCGCAGGACGGCCTGTGCGGCCTGTGCGGCAACTACAACGGGAACATGAAGGACGACTTTGAGACGCGCAGCAAGTACGTGGCGTCCAGCGAGCTGGACTTCGTGAACTCCTGGAAGGAGAGCCCGCTGTGCGGCGACGCCAGCTACTCGGTGGACCCCTGCAGCCTCAACGCCTTCCGCCGCGCCTGGGCCGAGCGCAAGTGCAGCATCATCAACAGCCAGACCTTCGCCGCCTGCCACAGCCAGGTGGGCTGCGCGCTGCGGGGGGAGGGGACTGCGCGCTGCGGGGCGTGGGGGGCCGGGCTGCGCGCTTCGGGGGCCGAGGGGCGGGGGGGCTGCACGCTGCGGGTGGGGGGACGGGCTGTGCGCTGCAGGGCGTGGGGGGACGGGCTGTGCGCTGTGGGGATGGGGGGACGGGCTGTGCGCTGTGGGGGACTGCACGCTGCAGGGCGTGGGGGGACGGGCTGCACGCTGCGGGTGGGGGTACGGGCTGTGCGCTGTTGGGGACCGCGCTGCAGGGCGTGGGGGGACGGGCTGTGCGCTGTGGGGATGAGGGACGGGCTGTGCGCTGTGGGGATGGGGGGACGGGCTGTGCGCTGTGGGGGACTGCGCGCTGCAGGGCGTGGGGGGACGGGCTGCACGCTGCGGGTGGGGGGACAGGCTGTGCGCTGTGGGGATGAGGGACAGGCTGTGCGCTGTGGGGGACTGCGCGCTGCAGGGCGTGGGGGGACGGGCTGTGCGCTGTGGGGATGGGGGGCTGCGCGCTGCGGGGGCCGAGGGGGCGGGGGTCTGCACGCTGCGGGGGGGGGGGGGATGGGGGACGGGCTGTGCGCTGTGGGGGACTGCGCGCTGCAGGGCGTGGGGGGACGGGCTGTGCGCTGTGGGGATGGGGGGGCTGCGCGCTGCGGGGGTGGGCTCGGCACGCCAGGAAGGTGAGCGGCGGACACTGAGGACCGACCACTCCCGTAGGTGTACCGCCTGCCCTACTACGAGGCCTGCGTGCGTGACACCTGTGGGTGCGACACCGGGGGGGACTGTGAGTGCCTGTGTGACGCTGTGGCTGCCTACGCCAAGGCCTGCCTGGACAAGGGCGTGTGTGTGGACTGGAGGGCCCCCGACTTCTGCCGTGAGTACCTGCCCCACTCAGCAGCGGGCGGCCATGGCGGTGGCACCTCTCCGGGCGGGCAGCAGGCTGGGACCCTGAGCGTCTAGGTCTGCGCCCAGGAGCTGCGGCGGTGAGCTCGGGGCCGCCTGACAGGCTCCTGTCCTCCCAGCTATCTACTGCGACTTCTACAACTCCCACGCGCGAGTGGGCGGAGGCCAGTTCCAGTACACCCAGGAGGCCAACTGCACGTGGCACTACCAGCCGTGCCTCTGCCCCCAGCAGCTACACAGCTTCCCGGACACCAACACTGAAGGTACCCTGCGCGGAGGAGAGGCCTCTGCAGTGCCGGGAGAGGCCAGGGGGCGCTGTGGACAGAAGGGCAAGGGTGGAAGGGCTCTCGGTGGGCACTGAGGCCTGGTGTTCTCTGCACCGCACAGGCTGCTACAACTGCTCCCGGGACGAGTACTTCGACTATGACAAGGGGACATGCACGCCCTGCGGTAAACTCAGCCCCCCCCCCCCCCTGCCGCACTGAGACCCCCTCACATGCTCCTAGACATCAGACACGAAGGGAAAATAATCAGGCCTCCCCTCCCCAAACCCTGACTGACCCACACCCAGCCCCCAACTGCAGGGCACACCAGGCCCAGGCTCCATTAGATCGCTGGGTATGTGGGTGCAGAGCAGGGGCCCCCTGAGAATTCAGTGACAGCTGGCCTGAGAGCTGCCATAAGGTGGGCGCTGGACAGCGTCCCGGCTGCCAAGCCATCACCATGGTTGCGGTGGTGCTGGGAGGGGAGAGATGGGGGTAGGCGGATGGGGGACAGGACCCACCTCTGCGTCAGGCCCTGGGGACACCCTGAGGGCGGGGCAGGCGGGCAACACGCAGGGACATCACTGACCACCCTCCTCTTGCAGTGCTGCTGCCCACCACGCCGCCTCCGCACACCACAGGTGATTGTGCACCCACTAGGTGCCAAAGTGAAGCCGGCCCGCCCCCCAGCTCCTCCCTGGTCACCCATCAGCCCAGTCTGTGTCCGTCCCTACAGCCTGTGGCTGGCGTGTGGGGCTGGGCTGTCCTGCACTGCCCACACCGTGCTGACCAGGGAAGCAGAGTGGAGGGACGTGTGAACCTTAGCTCCTGGCTGACCAGCACCCCCTGCACCCCCCCGTCACAGCAAGGCCGAAGGGACCCAGTGCTGCCCTGAAAGCACAGGCCCACCTGCCCCTGTGCCTCCTGTCCAGCCCATGGGGGGGGGGGCTCAGTAGGCAAGAGAGGGGCCCCTCCCAAAGCTGTGCCCACAGGAACAGCCCTGTGCCTCACTCAGGCTCACCCTCCACAGAACCCAGGCCCACCACGACCACCCCCAGAACCACTGGCCGCCTCAGCTCCACTGCAACCTCACCAAGCTCCCATTCCACACCTGCCACCCCCACCATCGGCTTTACACCCACAGCCACGCCCACAGCCACACCCACGGCCACGCCCACGGCCACGCCCACGGCCTCAGCCCCCTCCTCCACACAGGCAGAACCGACCATCTCCTCCGGAGGTAAGGCCACACTGCACTGCAGGAGCCACCAAGTCCCCAGACGCTCCAGGGATGGAGCAGGGGAGGCACAGAGGTGTGTGTGAAGGATAAGCTCAGCACCGGATGTGGCCACTCCCTGTTGTTTGATGCTGTCGCTAGAAGGCATGTGGGACTTCCGGGGCACAGGGAGCACAGGACAGCCCACCCCACTCACCCCAGACAGCAGCACCCCCTGCCGGCTGCCCAAGGACCATGAGGGAACATGCCATGGGTTCTGCCCGTAAGGGTGGGTGAAGGCACAAGCAGTGGCCCAATGAGCCCGTGGAAAAGCCACGGAGGCCCCCAAATCAAGCCAGCTGAGGGACAGGACGCATGTCAGCTAGGGGAAGACACACGCCCCCTCAAGAGCGTCCAGTGCACCCGGCAGGCTATGGGGGCAGGGCAGGGGGAAAGGGCAGGTGGTCTGGAGGGGATGTTTGAGCCTATTCCCTGCAGAGTCACCTCGAACGACCATCGCCGTCACCACGCAAGCCGCATCAGGGCCAGGCCCCACAGCCACTCCCAGGTCAACGGCCACGGGACCTACCGTAACACAGGCCACAACGCAGCCCACAGCATCCGTCAGCACAGCCACGCAAACCACAGCTCGGTCCACAGTGCACACCACAGCGGCATGGTCGACACCACCACCAAGAACCTCCACAGGCACTCCCCAAAGTAAGGAGGCCCCACCCAGGTGTCCCCACACAGGGACAGAGCACAGAGCTCCACGCCCAGCCTGAGCAGCACAGAGCTGCAGACGAGCTGGGTCTCGACCCCCGAGGCAGAGACGCCTCCAGCTCAGAGGGGCACAGTCTGCGGAGCCGTCACCGGAGCCCAGCTAACCACATGTCTCTGCTCTTCCCATCACAGCACCCACAGGCCCGCCCACCTCCCCCACCCCCACAACAGGTGAGCCAGGCCCTTGGGGACAACACAGCCAAAGCAGCACTGTCTCGAAAATGTGGGGACCAGGAGGAAATCAGGGCCACGAGCCCAAATCCCTGAAGGAACCCACGAGAGGGATGCTGAAGGGGGACCAGAAGCCCCTCAAGACAGGCGGAGGGTGCGGTGGGGTCGGTGCCATGCAGGGCGGCAGGGGAGAAAAAACTTAACCACTGAAAATTAGGCAATCCAGAGGCACGGAGGAACCACACGAGGTGCAGCGGGGAAACAACGAGAAGGTGGGGGACAATACGGGATGCACACTGGTGGCGGAGGATTAACACTGAAAATAACGCGTTGCTTCCACAGCTGGATCATCCCACCAGGCAACTGAAGGAACAACAATAATGGGCCCAGACAGAACCACAGCACACAACACACAGCACACAAGCCCAGAGACCAGGCCAACCACACCCACACCCAACAAACCACACACTCCCTTCACCACTTACTCTGCACCCACCGGTTCCGTGTCAACCGCCTCCCACAGTACAGGTCCACCCACAGGAACCTCCTTCAAGACCACCAGCCTCTACCCCACTGCATCTCCATCCAACACCACTCATTCCACTCATGTTCCCAATACGGCCACCTCCTCGGTCACTCCCACTACTCACCGAGTCATCACGCCAACCCAACCAGGATCCCACCCTCCTCACGCCTCCACGGCCAGGCCAACTGGCAGCTCTCCTCCAACGACACATGTCTCAGGCACTGTGTCCTCACCCACGACCCCACCAGGAACCATGACCACCACTGGGACCACCCTGGGCCCTCACTCTGTCAGCACCGCCAAAACCTCTACCTCCCTCGGATCCCATTCTTCTGCACCTGCCCACTCTGGGACCACATCTGCTCCAGGCACCACCATCTCCCACAGGACCACCAGTAGAGCCCCGGGGACCCCAGGCTCACACACCGCCACACCCACACCCAACAAACCACACACTCCCTTCACCACTTACTCTGCACCCACCGGTTCCGTGTCAACCGCCTCCCACAGTACAGGTCCACCCACAGGAACCTCCTTCAAGACCACCAGCCTCTACCCCACTGCATCTCCATCCAACACCACTCATTCCACTCATGTTCCCAATACGGCCACCTCCTCGGTCACTCCCACTACTCAACGAGTCATCACGCCAACCCAACCAGAGTCCCACCCTCCTCACGCCTCCACGGTCAGGCCAACTGGCAGCTCTCCTCCAACGACACACGTCACAGGCACTGTGTCCTCACCCTCGACCCCACCAGGAACCATGACCACCACTGGGACCACCCTGGGCCCTCACTCTGTCAGCACCGCCAAAACCTCTACCTCCCTCGGATCCCATTCTTCTGTACCTGCCCACTCTGGGACCACATCTGCTCCAGGCACCACCATCTCCCACAGGACCACCAGTAGAGCCCCGGGGACCCCAGGCTCACACACCGCCACACCCACACCCAACAAACCACACACTCCCTTCACCACTTACTCTGCACCCACCGGTTCCGTGTCAACCGCCTCCCACAGTACAGGTCCACCCACAGGAACCTCCTTCAAGACCACCAGCCTCTACCCCACTGCATCTCCATCCAACACCACTCATTCCACTCATGTTCCCAATACGGCCACCTCCTCGGTCACTCCCACTACTCACCGAGTCATCACGCCAACCCAACCAGGATCCCACCCTCCTCACGCCTCCACGGCCAGGCCAACTGGCAGCTCTCCTCCAACGACACATGTCACAGGCACTGTGTCCTCACCCACGACCCCACCAGGAACCATGACCACCACTGGGACCACCCTGGGCCCTCACTCTGTCAGCACCGCCAAAACCTCTACCTCCCTCGGATCCATTCTTCTGCACCTGCCCACTCTGGGACCACATCTGCTCCAGGCACCACCATCTCCCACAGGACCACCAGTAGAGCCCCGGGGACCCCAGGCTCACACACCGCCACACCCACACCCAACAAACCACACACTCCCTTCACCACTTACTCTGCACCCACCGGTTCCGTGTCAACCGCCTCCCACAGTACAGGTCCACCCACAGGAACCTCCTTCAAGACCACCAGCCTCTACCCCACTGCATCTCCATCCAACACCACTCATTCCACTCATGTTCCCAATACGGCCACCTCCTCGGTCACTCCCACTACTCAACGAGTCATCACGCCAACCCAACCAGAGTCCCACCCTCCTCACGCCTCCACGGTCAGGCCAACTGGCAGCTCTCCTCCAACGACACACGTCACAGGCACTGTGTCCTCACCCTCGACCCCACCAGGAACCATGACCACCACTGGGACCACCCTGGGCCCTCACTCTGTCAGCACCGCCAAAACCTCTACCTCCCTCGGATCCCATTCTTCTGCACCTGCCCACTCTGGGACCACATCTGCTCCAGGCACCACCATCTCCCACAGGACCACCAGTAGAGCCCCGGGGACCCCAGGCTCACACACCGCCACACCCACACCCAACAAACCACACACTCCCTTCACCACTTACTCTGCACCCACCGGTTCCGTGTCAACCGCCTCCCACAGTACAGGTCCACCCACAGGAACCTCCTTCAAGACCACCAGCCTCTACCCCACTGCATCTCCATCCAACACCACTCATTCCACTCATGTTCCCAATACGGCCACCTCCTCGGTCACTCCCACTACTCAACGAGTCATCACGCCAACCCAACCAGGGTCCCACCCTCCTCACGCCTCCACGGCCAGGCCAACTGGCAGCTCTCCTCCAACGACACATGTCTCAGGCACTGTGTCCTCACCCACGACCCCACCAGGAACCATGACCACCACTGGGACCACCCTGGGCCCTCACTCTGTCAGCACCGCCAAAACCTCTACCTCCCTTGTATCCATCCCTTCTGCACCTGCCCACTCTGGGACCACATCTGCTCCAGGCACCACCATCTCCCACAGGACCACCAGTAGAGCCCCGGGGACCCCAGGCTCACACACCGCCACACCCACACCCAACAAACCACACACTCCCTTCACCACTTACTCTGCACCCACCGGTTCCGTGTCAACCGCCTCCCACAGTACTGGTCCACCCACAGGAACCTCCTTCAAGACCACCAGCCTCTACCCCACTGCATCTCCATCCAAGACCACTCATTCCACTCATGTTCCCAATACGGCCACCTCCTCGGTCACTCCCACTACTCACCGAGTCATCACGCCAACCCAACCAGGGTCCCACCCTCCTCACGCCTCCACGGCCAGGCCAACTGGCAGCTCTCCTCCAACGACACATGTCACAGGCACTGTGTCCTCACCCACGACCCCACCAGGAACCATGACCACCACTGGGACCACCCTGGGCCCTCACTCTGTCAGCACCGCCAAAACCTCTACCTCCCTCGGATCCCATTCTTCTGCACCTGCCCACTCTGGGACCACATCTGCTCCAGGCACCACCATCTCCCACAGGACCACCAGTAGAGCCCCGGGGACCCCAGGCTCACACACCGCCACACCCACACCCAACAAACCACACACTCCCTTCACCACTTACTCTGCACCCACCGGTTCCGTGTCAACCGCCTCCCACAGTACAGGTCCACCCACAGGAACCTCCTTCAAGACCACCAGCCTCTACCCCACTGCATCTCCATCCAACACCACTCATTCCACTCATGTTCCCAATACGGCCACCTCCTCGGTCACTCCCACTACTCAACGAGTCATCACGCCAACCCAACCAGAGTCCCACCCTCCTCACGCCTCCACGGTCAGGCCAACTGGCAGCTCTCCTCCAACGACACACGTCACAGGCACTGTGTCCTCACCCTCGACCCCACCAGGAACCATGACCACCACTGGGACCACCCTGGGCCCTCACTCTGTCAGCACCGCCAAAACCTCTACCTCCCTCGTATCCCATCCTTCTGCACCTGCCCACTCTGGGACCACATCTGCTCCAGGCACCACCATCTCCCACAGGACCACCAGTAGAGCCCCGGGGACCCCAGGCTCACACACCGCCACACCCACACCCAACAAACCACACACTCCCTTCACCACTTACTCTGCACCCACCGGTTCCGTGTCAACCGCCTCCCACAGTACAGGTCCACCCACAGGAACCTCCTTCAAGACCACCAGCCTCTACCCCACTGCAGCTCCATCCAACACCACTCATTCCACTCATGTTCCCAATACGGCCACCTCCTCGGTCACTCCCACTACTCAACGAGTCATCACGCCAACCCAACCAGGGTCCCACCCTCCTCACGCCTCCACGGCCAGGCCAACTGGCAGCTCTCCTCCAACGACACACGTCACAGGCACTGTGTCCTCACCCACGACCCCACCAGGAACCATGACCACCACTGGGACCACCCTGGGCCCTCACTCTGTCAGCACCGCCAAAACCTCTACCTCCCTTGTATCCATCCCTTCTGCACCTGCCCACTCTGGGACCACATCTGCTCCACGCACCACCATCTCCCACAGGACCACCAGTAGAGCCCCGGGGACCCCAGGCTCACACACCGCCACACCCACACCCAACAAACCACACACTCCCTTCACCACTTACTCTGCACCCACCGGTTCCGTGTCAACCGCCTCCCACAGTACTGGTCCACCCACAGGAACCTCCTTCAAGACCACCAGCCTCTACCCCACTGCATCTCCATCCAAGACCACTCATTCCACTCATGTTCCCAATACGGCCACCTCCTCGGTCACTCCCACTACTCAACGAGTCATCACGCCAACCCAACCAGAGTCCCACCCTCCTCACGCCTCCACGGTCAGGCCAACTGGCAGCTCTCCTCCAACGACACACGTCACAGGCACTGTGTCCTCACCCACGACCCCACCAGGAACCATGACCACCACTGGGACCACCCTGGGCCCTCACTCTGTCAGCACCGCCAAAACCTCTACCTCCCTCGGATCCCATTCTTCTGCACCTGCCCACTCTGGGACCACATCTGCTCCAGGCACCACCATCTCCCACAGGACCACCAGTAGAGCCCCGGGGACCCCAGGCTCACACACCGCCACACCCACACCCAACAAACCACACACTCCCTTCACCACTTACTCTGCACCCACCGGTTCCGTGTCAACCGCCTCCCACAGTACAGGTCCACCCACAGGAACCTCCTTCAAGACCACCAGCCTCTACCCCACTGCATCTCCATCCAAGACCGCTCATTCCACTCATGTTCCCAATACGGCCACCTCCTCGGTCACTCCCACTACTCAACGAGTCATCACGCCAACCCAACCAGAGTCCCACCCTCCTCACGCCTCCACGGTCAGGCCAACTGGCAGCTCTCCTCAAACGACACACGTCACAGGCACTGTGTCCTCACCCACGACCCCACCAGGAACCATGACCACCACTGGGACCACCCTGGGCCCTCACTCTGTCAGCACCGCCAAAACCTCTACCTCCCTTGTATCCATCCCTTCTGCACCTGCCCACTCTGGGACCACATCTGCTCCAGGCACCACCATCTCCCACAGGACCACCAGTAGAGCCCCGGGGACCCCAGGCTCACACACCGCCACACCCACACCCAACAAACCACACACTCCCTTCACCACTTACTCTGCACCCACCGGTTCCGTGTCAACCGCCTCCCACAGTACAGGTCCACCCACAGGAACCTCCTTCAAGACCACCAGCCTCTACCCCACTGCATCTCCATCCAACACCACTCATTCCACTCATGTTCCCAATACGGCCACCTCCTCGGTCACTCCCACTACTCAACGAGTCATCACACCAACCCAACCAGAGTCCCACCCTCCTCACGCCTCCACGGTCAGGCCAACTGGCAGCTCTCCTCCAACGACACACGTCACAGGCACTGTGTCCTCACCCACGACCCCACCAGGAACCATGACCACCACTGGGACCACCCTGGGCCCGCACGCTGTCAGCACCGCCAAAACCTCTACCTCCCTCGGATCCATTCTTCTGCACCTGCCCACTCTGGGACCACATCTGCTCCAGGCACCACCATCTCCCACAGGACCACCAGTAGAGCCCCGGGGACCCCAGGCTCACACACCGCCACACCCACACCCAACAAACCACACACTCCCTTCACCACTTACTCTGCACCCACCGGTTCCGTGTCAACCGCCTCCCACAGTACAGGTCCACCCACAGGAACCTCCTTCAAGACCACCAGCCTCTACCCCACTGCATCTCCATCCAACACCACTCATTCCACTCATGTTCCCAATACGGCCACCTCCTCGGTCACTCCCACTACTCAACGAGTCATCACGCCAACCCAACCAGAGTCCCACCCTCCTCACGCCTCCACGGTCAGGCCAACTGGCAGCTCTCCTCCAACGACACACGTCACAGGCACTGTGTCCTCACCCTCGACCCCACCAGGAACCATGACCACCACTGGGACCACCCTGGGCCCTCACTCTGTCAGCACCGCCAAAACCTCTACCTCCCTTGTATCCATCCCTTCTGCACCTGCCCACTCTGGGACCACATCTGCTCCAGGCACCACCATCTCCCACAGGACCACCAGTAGAGCCCCGGGGACCCCAGGCTCACACACCGCCACACCCACACCCAACAAACCACACACTCCCTTCACCACTTACTCTGCACCCACCGGTTCCGTGTCAACCGCCTCCCACAGTACTGGTCCACCCACAGGAACCTCCTTCAAGACCACCAGCCTCTACCCCACTGCATCTCCATCCAAGACCACTCATTCCACTCATGTTCCCAATACGGCCACCTCCTCGGTCACTCCCACTACTCACCGAGTCATCACGCCAACCCAACCAGGGTCCCACCCTCCTCACGCCTCCACGGCCAGGCCAACTGGCAGCTCTCCTCCAACGACACACTGTCACAGGCACTGTGTCCTCACCCTCGACCCCACCAGGAACCATGACCACCACTGGGACCACCCTGGGCCCTCACTCTGTCAGCACCGCCAAAACCTCTACCTCCCTCGGATCCCATTCTTCTGCACCTGCCCACTCTGGGACCACATCTGCTCCAGGCACCACCATCTCCCACAGGACCACCAGTAGAGCCCCGGGGACCCCAGGCTCACACACCGCCACACCCACACCCAACAAACCACACACTCCCTTCACCACTTACTCTGCACCCACCGGTTCCGTGTCAACCGCCTCCCACAGTACAGGTCCACCCACAGGAACCTCCTTCAAGACCACCAGCCTCTACCCCACTGCATCTCCATCCAAGACCACTCATTCCACTCATGTTCCCAATACGGCCACCTCCTCGGTCACTCCCACTACTCAACGAGTCATCACGCCAACCCAACCAGGGTCCCACCCTCCTCACGCCTCCACGGTCAGGCCAACTGGCAGCTCTCCTCCAACGACACACGTCACAGGCACTGTGTCCTCACCCTCGACCCCACCAGGAACCATGACCACCACTGGGACCACCCTGGGCCCTCACTCTGTCAGCACCGCCAAAACCTCTACCTCCCTCGGATCCCATTCTTCTGCACCTGCCCACTCTGGGACCACATCTGCTCCAGGCACCACCATCTCCCACAGGACCACCAGTAGAGCCCCGGGGACCCCAGGCTCACACACCGCCACACCCACACCCAACAAACCACACACTCCCTTCACCACTTACTCTGCACCCACCGGTTCCGTGTCAACCGCCTCCCACAGTACAGGTCCACCCACAGGAACCTCCTTCAAGACCACCAGCCTCTACCCCACTGCATCTCCATCCAACACCACTCATTCCACTCATGTTCCCAATACGGCCACCTCCTCGGTCACTCCCACTACTCAACGAGTCATCACGCCAACCCAACCAGGGTCCCACCCTCCTCACGCCTCCACGGTCCAGGCCAACTGGCAGCTCTCCTCCAACGACACACGTCACAGGCACTGTGTCCTCACCCTCGACCCCACCAGGAACCATGACCACCACTGGGACCACCCTGGGCCCTCACTCTGTCAGCACCGCCAAAACCTCTACCTCCCTTGTATCCATCCCTTCTGCACCTGCCCACTCTGGGACCACATCTGCTCCAGGCACCACCATCTCCCACAGGACCACCAGTAGAGCCCCGGGGACCCCAGGCTCACACACCGCCACACCCACACCCAACAAACCACACACTCCCTTCACCACTTACTCTGCACCCACCGGTTCCGTGTCAACCGCCTCCCACAGTACTGGTCCACCCACAGGAACCTCCTTCAAGACCACCAGCCTCTACCCCACTGCATCTCCATCCAACACCACTCATTCCACTCATGTTCCCAATACGGCCACCTCCTCGGTCACTCCCACTACTCAACGAGTCATCACGCCAACCCAACCAGGGTCCCACCCTCCTCACGCCTCCACGGCCAGGCCAACTGGCAGCTCTCCTCCAACGACATACGTCACAGGCACTGTGTCCTCACCCTCGACCCCACCAGGAACCATGACCACCACTGGGACCACCCTGGGCCCTCACTCTGTCAGCACCGCCAAAACCTCTACCTCCCTCGGATCGCATTCTTCTGCACCTGCCCACTCTGGGACCACATCTGCTCCAGGCACCACCATCTCCCACAGGACCACCAGTAGAGCCCCGGGGACCCCAGGCTCACACACCGCCACACCCACACCTAACAAACCACACACTCCCTTCACCACTTACTCTGCACCCACCGGTTCCGTGTCAACCGCCTCCCACAGTACAGGTCCACCCACAGGAACCTCCTTCAAGACCACCAGCCTCTACCCCACTGCATCTCCATCCAACACCACTCATTCCACTCATGTTCCCAATACGGCCACCTCCTCGGTCACTCCCACTACTCAACGAGTCATCACGCCAACCCAACCAGGGTCCCACCCCTCCTCACGCCTCCACGGTCAGGCCAACTGGCAGCTCTCCTCCAACGACACACGTCATAGGCACTGTGTCCTCACCCTCGACCCCACCAGGAACCATGACCACCACTGGGACCACCCTGGGCCCTCACTCTGTCAGCACCGCCAAAACCTCTACCTCCCTTGGATCCCATCCTTCTGCACCTGCCCACTCTGGGACCACATCTGCTCCAGGCACCACCATCTCCCACAGGACCACAAGTAGAGCCCCGGGGACCCCAGGCTCACACACCGCCACACCCACACCCAACAAACCACACACTCCCTTCACCACTTACTCTGCACCCACCGGTTCCGTGTCAACCGCCTCCCACAGTACAGGTCCACCCACAGGAACCTCCTTCAAGACCACCAGCCTCTACCCCACTGCATCTCCATCCAAGACCACTCATTCCACTCATGTTCCCAATACGGCCACCTCCTCGGTCACTCCCACTACTCAACGAGTCATCACGCCAACCCAACCAGGGTCCCACCCTCCTCACGCCTCCACGGCCCGGCCAACTGGCAGCTCTCCTCCAACGACACACGTCACAGGCACTGTGTCCTCACCCACGACCCCACCAGGAACCATGACCACCACTGGGACCACCCTGGGCCCTCACTCTGTCAGCACCGCCAAAACCTCTACCTCCCTCGGATCGCATTCTTCTGCACCTGCCCACTCTGGGACCACATCTGCTCCAGGCACCACCATCTCCCACAGGACCACCAGTAGAGCCCCGGGGACCCCAGGCTCACACACCGCCACACCCACACCCAACAAACCACACACTCCCTTCACCACTTACTCTGCACCCACCGGTTCCGTGTCAACCGCCTCCCACAGTACAGGTCCACCCACAGGAACCTCCTTCAAGACCACCAGCCTCTACCCCACTGCATCTCCATCCAACACCACTCATTCCACTCATGTTCCCAATACGGCCACCTCCTCGGTCACTCCCACTACTCAACGAGTCATCACGCCAACCCAACCAGGGTCCCACCCTCCTCACGCCTCCACGGCCAGGCCGACTGGCAGCTCTCCTCCAACGACATACGTCACAGGCACTGTGTCCTCACCCTCGACCCCACCAGGAACCATGACCACCACTGGGACCACCCTGGGCCCTCACTCTGTCAGCACCGCCAAAACCTCTACCTCCCTTGTATCCATCCCTTCTGCACCTGCCCACTCTGGGACCACATCTGCTCCAGGCACCACCATCTCCCACAGGACCACCAGTAGAGCCCCGGGGACCCCAGGCTCACACACCGCCACACCCACACCCAACAAACCACACACTCCCTTCACCACTTACTCTGCACCCACCGGTTCCGTGTCAACCGCCTCCCACAGTACAGGTCCACCCACAGGAACCTCCTTCAAGACCACCAGCCTCTACCCCACTGCATCTCCATCCAACACCACTCATTCCACTCATGTTCCCAATACGGCCACCTCCTCGGTCACTCCCACTACTCAACGAGTCATCACGCCAACCCAACCAGGGTCCCACCCTCCTCACGCCTCCACGGCCCGGCCAACTGGCAGCTCTCCTCCAATGACATACGTCACAGGCACTGTGTCCTCACCCACGACCCCACCAGGAACCATGACCACCTCTGGGACCACCCTGGGCCCTCACTCTGTCAGCACCGCCAAAACCTCTACCTCCCTTGGATCCATTCTTCTGCACCTGCCCACTCTGGGACCACATCTGCTCCAGGCACCACCATCTCCCACAGGACCACCAGTAGAGCCCCGGGGACCCCAGGCTCACACACTGCCACACCCACACCCAACAAACCACACACTCCCTTCACCACTTACTCTGCACCCACCGGTTCCGTGTCAACCGCCTCCCACAGTACAGGTCCACCCACAGGAACCTCCTTCAAGACCACCAGCCTCTACCCCACTGCATCTCCATCCAACACCACTCATTCCACTCATGTTCCCAATACGGCCACCTCCTCGGTCACTCCCACTACTCACCGAGTCATCACGCCAACCCAACCAGGGTCCCACCCTCCTCACGCCTCCACGGCCAGGCCAACTGGCAGCTCTCCTCCAACCACACACGTCACAGGCACTGTGTCCTCACCCACGACCCCACCAGGAACCATGACCACCACTGGGACCACCCTGGGCCCTCACTCTGTCAGCACCGCCAAAACCTCTACCTCCCTTGTATCCATCCCTTCTGCACCTGCCCACTCTGGTTCCACATCTGCTCCAGGTACCACCATCTCCCACAGGACCACCAGTAGAGCCACGGGGACCCCTGGGACACACACTGCCACAGTGACACCCAGCTGGCCACATACTATGTTTACTTCTCACTCTGCTCCTACGGGTACCATGTTTACCACCTCTCAGTCCACTTCTCTCACCTCAAAAGTTCCTTTGCCCAGCCTCATGTCATCCACTGTCGGGGTGACCACAATCCCCAGTTCTCCAGGCACGAACCTCACCACCAGTCATCCTCGTCCCACTGGACTGCTGACCACTGTGTTCCTGACCAGCTCCGTCACTGCACACAGAAGCTCCTCCCCCCCCACCGGCGGATCCTCTGTCTCCTCTCCCCTCACAGGCACGCCCAGCTCCTCCAGTAAGTGCTGTCCTCTCCCACCTTCTGACCCTGGGCCCTGCTTCCTCCCAGCCTCTCCGCTCTGGTCCACAGCACTCGGGGTGTCCCAGGGAGTCCCCACCTTCTCCTATCTCCGCACACTGCCCAAGGACCACTGGGGTTCCTCTATTGGCTCAGGGACTCCGTCTCCAACTCTGTACTCATGTCACACCTGTCATAACACTATTCCCGTGGTGGGCATGTCTGCTTCTCTCCCCCTGAAGCCTTCGCTTTTGCTTGGGCTGTAGGACAGCGCAGGGTGCTGAGCACCGATGTGGTTGGGGAATCCCTCTGCTCTGGCCTGTTTGCTCTGAGCCTATAGCTGTGGGTCTCAGCTGTGGTGCCCCAGCTGTGCCCTCAGAGTGTGGTTCACACTTCTCCCGCCACACTTCTCCATGCCTCCCCTCTTTCTGGCCTGTCTAGTGCCACATGTTCCCCCACCCCTGGGGTCTGTTCTCAACCCTCTTTGGTGGGTGCCAGCTCTTCCCTCCCCCTCCCCAGGCTCCTCCCCAGCAAACCCCCCCCCGTTTGACTGAAATGAGCACCTGGCCTCCCCCACTGGTCCCCTTTCCCACCTCTAGTCCTGGACCTGGCTTGCTCAGGCCCCATCCCTCCCTTCAGCCCCTCCCACAGTCCTGGCCTCCCTTTGAGGGGCTCCCTGTCCTCGGCAGCCTCCCACTGCTGCTCCCTGTGGTCCTCAGAGGAGGTGAGGGCTGGCAGGGATCCGAGGTGCAGCTATTGCCAGCTTCCCCTACACCGCACAGGGCAGGCCATGCCGCACCCCAGGTGACCACTTGGACCCAGCTGGGACTAGCAGCAGGGCCCCTGTACCCCGCTGGTCTGTCCAGCCCGAGCCTCAGCCCTGCAGCTGCCTTCAGCTGCCAGTCTGCCCTCCTGCACGCAGACCTGGGCACACCCTGTCCTCCAGGATGCCAGTCGCCTCCCTTTTGGGTGTTTGCTCCATGGCATCTGCTGCCTGGGCCAGGCTCCCCTCACAAGCCCCAGGCAGGCTGTTCACAGTGACACGTTTCTCCTGTGGGAAAAGGACTGGGTGCAGGCTGTCCACTGGGCGGGGACCCCAGGAAACGGGGAGTGAGCCAGAGAGAGATCAGGAGGGGAGGGCCGCTGGGGGCAGTGGGGACCATGGGGACACCCAGAGTCCGGTCCCCACCTGCCTTCTGATGCCCACCTCCAGCAGAGCAAGGGCAGGCAGGGCTGGAGCCTCAGGGAGGCCCTGCACACGGGCGGAGCGGACAGAGCAGGGCAGACCGCCAGCTTCGCTCAGGACCCTCTTGGCTACTTCGCTCGAGCCCCACCCTGGCCGTCCCTGATGGCCGTGCTGCTCTGCCTGGTGCCAGGGAGCCCGAGCGGCCTGCCAGCACCGTCTGTACACGGGGTGGGAGGCAGGCCAGAGCTCACAGGTCTGCACCGGGCCCACAGCCCCTGCAGGGAGTCCCCGTCTGGGGACACTGACATCCTGTTCTCATCCCTCCACAGGTTCTGAGCCCGGCACAGACATACCTATGCTCACAGGTGGGTATGAGCTGGGAGGGAGGTGGCGGGGGAAGCTGGGGACCAGTGTGGGGCTGTGTCTTGTCCTGAGAAAGCCCTTGACCTCAGGGGAGACCAGCAGGCTTTGTCCCCGTGAGGTCTGAGATCAGTGGGGCTCAGACAAAGGGAGATGACCTGGGTGGGGGCCCAGGAAAAGTGCTGACAGCCCCCCAGGATCCAGTCCCATCTGAGTGGTAGAGCATTGGTGTCCTGGCCCCTCCTGGCTCCACGGGGCCGGCATTACTCCCCACCCCACGCAGAAGGGCTTGAGGAAGCGAGGCTCAGAGCCCCGCAGGGACACCAGTCCTACCCGTGGGAGGGTCAGTGCAGAGCCCGAGGCTGCACCTGCACCTGCCTGTCAGTGCCCCCTGGGGCTGGCGCTCACTGCCTGCCTCTGGGCTTTCAGAGGTCTGCAGTGTGAGGGAGTTTCAGGAAGAGGTCACTTACCAGGGGTGCACGGCCAACGTGACAGTGACCCGCTGCGTGGGCGTCTGCGCCTCCACCACCAGGTGAGCTGCTGGGCCCGGGCAGCCTCCATCCGTCGTCGGGCTCCGAGCTCGGAGCCTGCCTCGCCCAAGACTCCACCTGGGGGTCTGGCAGGTCCAGCTGTGCGCTCCAGCCCAGCCTCAGCTCTGCCTGCAGCTGACCCCGACAGCTGGGGAGGTCAGCCAGAAGCCACGCCCTGAGGGCCACGCCTGGGTGTGCCCTTCTCTGGGGTGACTGGAGAGGAATGCCACCCCCCCCCCCGAGGCCACGGCCCTGACTCGAGCACTCTGTGGCAAATTCTTGACAGCTTCAACACGTACACCAATCAAGTGGACACACAGTGCAGCTGCTGCCACCCCGTCAGCTCCCAGGAGAAGCAGCTGACACTGCCCTGCCCAGACCCTGCGGCACCGGGCCAGCAGCTGGTGCTCACCCTGCACGTGTTCAGACGCTGCGCCTGCGGACCCTGGCACTGCAAAGACTAGGCCCGGCACACACCCCGTGAGAGGACGAAGCACCACCTCCCAGCCCCCCACTCGCTGTGCCCAGCGGCCCCTTTCTAGGCATGGCCTGGAAGAGCCCTGGGCGCGGCTCACCCAGGCATCTGCAGGACAGGTCCCGCAGACCCCAGCCCAACCCAACAGCCTGCAGTGAACTGCGGGCCTCCTGCCCCCACGACTCTCAGGCCACATCCCCAATCATCCACACAGCCTCCCAGCCCGCCCAGCTAGACCTGGGACCGGCCTGAGGAAGGCTGCTCCAGAGGGTGTCTGGGGAGGGAAGCTCAGCATTTGGGGAGCGAGGGCAAGAGGAAGGTGGACACAGGCACCACCAGCATGGACGCCTGCCCACGGACCCAGCCCGCCCTGGGGAGGGTGTCCCAGCACTGTGCTCAGGGAGCCTGTGAACGCGTCACAAATAAACTGCACTGGCCAAGGCACTGAGGCTGCCCACAGCTCTGTGTCCTCCCCCGGCCCAGCCCCGCGTGTCCTCCCAGCCCACATCATCCGCGAACCACAGCATGCCTACCCCACATCGCTGGGCCAGGATCAGGCCAGGACCCCTCCCCATCAGCCCTCGCCCTGCCCAGGCCACCTCCAGGGTTGCTTCCTCACTCAGGACTCCCCTGAGAGGCCCTCTATCCTGTGGGACCCTGCTCCCAGTCTGTGGTTGGGTAACCCCGTCCTGTGAGCTCGGTGGGCTCATTCCCCACGAAGGAGCCCCTGGTCCCACGTCCCTCAGACCCATGGCCTCTGGAGGCAGACCACCCACACACACTGCAGGGGGAGAGCCGAGGCCAGGTGGAGGTCCGGCAGGAGGGTTCCACAGGCGCAACCACACACCCTGAACCAACTAGTGGAGCAGAAGGCACACCACCTCCAACGCCCCTAAGCTTCTCCCCGTGGCCGGGCAGCTATGCTCTGGAGGACAGCCCCACCCAGAGCAGGGCCCTGCTGGTGTCATCCGGTGGATGGCCAGCAAGGCCTGCACGATGGGCCTCGAGCCGCAGGCAGGGTGCTTTCACCCCAGGGACGACCCATATATTCTGGTCACTGTCCTGGCACTCACTTTCCCTTGGGAAGAAACATACTTTAGGACGGCTCGCCCCCAGAGAGACACTTGTACATGGACACAGCTCTAGGGAGGGCACCGATGGACAACAGGGACCCTGGCCACGCCAGCGCCCACACACAGTGCCCAGCACCACGCGCTGCCCAGCAGCTTGAACGAAAGCACTGCAGGGAGGGTCACACACTGAACAGCCAGTGCTGAGGGCCACTTGGGTCCAGCCGAGGACCCTGGGGACCCTGAGGGGCACACAGGTGCTGGCTGTTCAGGTCACTGCGGGTCCAGAGCATGCACCATGGGGGTTACACAAACACCGTGCGTCCCCAGTGTGGGGTACCCCAGTACCCAGATGGCGTCTCCTGCATCTGCCCCAGCCCAGGACCTGCACCGCAGCACAGACCCCCATGGGGCTGAGGCACATGTCTGGGGTGCCCAGCGCCTGCTGGGAAACCAGCAGAACCCACGGAGCCCGGGCTCCTGGGTCCTCTGCACACCAGCCCGCAGCAGGACAGAGGCCCTGGTTCGGCTGTGCCCTGGCCGGCCACCTCGGGGTGCAGGCATGCAGCCTGGTGGCCAAGGTGGGGTGATAAGCACGAGAGCCGAACAATGAGCGCGGCATGCGGAGGAGCTCCCGTCCGCCCTGGCCGGCTCCGCTCGCTGAGCCTCCTGCATCCATGCAGCCAGTCTGCAGCGCGGCTGCAACGGGGACCCAGGGACAACTGCACCGGCAGCTACGGCCACCAACAGGGAGAGGCTGGCTCGCCTGCCAGATCTTCTCTGCCGGTCACATCTAGCCCTCCAAGCACAGGTGGAAACTTGCCCCAGCCTCTACGGCGGGACCCAAAGGCGGTGCGGCTGGCCCACATCCTCTAGGGTGCCAGGCACCACGCTGCACCATCAGGTGGCACCACAAACACCCTGGGACACAGCCAGGAGGAAGCAGCGGGACCACCAGGACACACGGCGTGTGGGACACGGAACACAGACGGTCCTGCCGCCCGGAACCCGTCCCCAGAGCGGTGCTCCGCGCTGCAGCCTGTGCGCTCCATGCTCAGGCCGGGTCCGGAGGACGGGCCAGGCCACGGGGACCCGGCACGCACCCCTGCCCTGGTGGCCCCCACGGCCTCGTTGAAGACGGGCCCACGAGAAGCGCCGCCGCTTGTCTCCGAGCAGCGCACGGCGGTGACATCTGAGAAAGTCCAGAAACTTTCATCCAAACTTCTAATTTCCCTTTAATTTGTAGGTTTCACCACAGAACTGTCTTGATTTCTGTGAAGACGGATCCCAGGATCACACCCCTCCTGACCTGGCAGGCCAGCTGCAGCCCAGGCGCAGCCTCTCCTCACACGTGCTTGCGCTCCGTCCACCGAGGGACGAGGGAGGAGGCTGGAGGGCCTGCGCTGGGCACGCACAGGTGCTTGTGTGTGGCACGGTGTGCAGACAATGGCAGAGGCGAGGAGACGCAGGCCCAGAGCCTGACCTGTCCCCAGGACTAGAACTGCTCTGACAGCAACGCGCACAGTCTCTGGGAGACGGTCTCCTTACTCGTCCGCAGTGTGAGCCGGTACATCTGAAACAGACAACAGCAGGTCAGCCCCCGGGCAGCGGCCTCGCGCCCCCCAGCCCCTCCCCGACCCCCTGCTCTACACAGACGCGAGCACCGAAGGCTGCCAAGGCTGGACGGGTCTGACGGGGCACGTGGAGCTGCTGCAGGTGGAGGACACATCCACCCGGAGCCCGCGCTCCCACACTGCACGTGTCCCCCCGGATGAGGGGAACAGACGTCGGCACCGAGGCCCGTCCAGGAGCACACACAGCAGCTCTGCCCAGAATGCCCACCAGGGCAGCCACGAGTCCATCAGCAGGAGGGTTGGGTCAGCCCACTGGGCAGAGGAGTGCCCGCAGCTGCCAGAGGGCAGGCCGGAGCTGGCCGCGAGGGCACCAGGGAGCTTTCTGGGGCGGGGGGAAGGCTGTATGTGCAGGGCGGGTGGCTACCAGTGCACACGTCTGCCAGGACTCAGGGCCCCACGCGGACTGTCTCCCTGGGGGCAATCACACACAACAGCTCAGTGCAGGCAGCACCTCCTCCTGACCTGCGCCTGGAGATTCGGCTCCAAACGCAGCAAGCACCCGATCTGGGTGGTTCTGGTGTGGATGATACCAGCTCCCACAAAATTGGCAGGATTAGGATCGACCTCTTCCAGGAGTGCGGAACCAAACCCGATGATCTGTGCAAAGGAAGAGGGAGTGTTGGGACACTGGTGGTGACAGGGCCACAGGGGGACTCGGGACACCATGCACAAGCCCGTCACCTTGGCTTTGGTGATTTCTGTGTCCATTGGATGCTTTGCCTTGAAAATGCTCTGCACTTCCTGCTGGGGACTGAGACACAAAGGCCGGCATCAGGCTCCGCCGAGCTGGAACCACGGCCCAGCCTCCCCACACCGCAGCCACAGCACCCGGCTCACCTGCTCAGCTGCTTCCAGCGCTGAAAGAAGTCCTGAGAAGCCATTTCCGTGGGCTGGAAAAACTTGTTGAGGGTGATGGGCAACTTGACAGACACATTCTGGAAGGTGCCCCCGTACCTGCAGGACAGGGATGTGCTGAAGATCGCAGGCTGCAGGCACGTCTCCAGGGCTCAGGCAAGGGGTGAGACCAAAGGTGGGGGCTCCTGCCTCATCGACGCAGCACCTGCCAGAGGGGCGGTCTGCCCACAGGCGGCTCAGTCTGTGTCAGCACCACCGCTGAGGAGGGCCCACGCCACGTGCCCACCCCGCCACCTGCGGGTGGCACACTCCTCCGGCAGAGCACTGAGGGCGATCACACCCCCAGGACCAGCCTCGGGCAGGACACCCCAATCTCAGGACAGCTACCATCTCCTCACTTTCCCCATAGTCCCTGTCCTACAACTCCTAGTTGGTTTAATTATGTCAGGCTTCTTTTCTTTTGTTCATGAAGAGTTTATCTACAGAATGCAACGAAAATGTGCATATTTCCCTGAATTCTACACAGTACACGATTCCAGTTCTCTATGTACTAATGTTTGAAAACATGCGTTTCTAAAAATGTAACCTTACAAACACCCAACAGGGAACTGACTAGTCAACCATGTACACTCTACTTTAGTTGTTGAAAAATAATAATAAAGCAGCAGCACCACCAAAATAATCGTTTTTTAAAAACCAGAGGTCGCCGGTTCGATTCCCGGTCAGGACACATGCCCAGGTTGTGGGCCCAATCCCCAGTGGGGGGCGTGCAGGAGGCGACCAATCGCTGTTCTCTCTCATCAATGTTTCTATTTCTCTCTCCCTCTCCCTTCCTCTCTAAAACCAATAAAAGAAAAAAAATTTTTAAACAATCAAAACAGTGTGTCTGCCCCGAGTACAACTGCAAAAACACACGCAGCAGACGAGGTCTGGAGCCGGAGCAGCGGGCCAAGCAGCACCCGGGACCTGCTGCCCCAGCCCCACAGGGCAGGCCCCTTGGTTTCTCAGCTCGAAAGCACTGGGCCTTGGGGAGATGACATGCCAGCAGGAACCACACCGGCCTCACAGAATCTGGGCTCCCCCCACCCCATCCTCTGTAGCTGGTGCTGCGGCGAGGCCAACGGCAGCACCTAGGACACAGCTGTATGCAGGCCCAGCCCTCGAGCCCCAGGCCGGAGCCGGGGCCAAGCACACCCACCAGCCAGCAGGCGTACCGCCTGCACTCACCTGAACTGAATGTTGAGGACGGGTGCCTCGGTGAAGTCCGACACACACTCGATGTTGACCACCTGCTGCACCTGTGCGCCCCCGTCCACCGTCGGGTCCACAGGCTTGGTCTGCAGGCTCAGATGTGTGCGTGTCAAGGAGGCCATTCCAACACGGGAAGTGGGTCTGAGCCAAGCCAGCCCTGTGGTCCCCCAGACCCAGGG